TCGCGCCTCGTTGGCTATCTATCATCTCATATCCAACGCGCGCTCGTGGAATAATTGTTAAATATATATATATATATATAGAATAGTTATAATATGCATAGTTTGCACTACACATATTTAGACTCCCCTCACTGGAATCTCTATAATTCATCAACATTCCTGCAAATACTGTTGAATATTGTTGGAATAAAACGGGCTTTCTTTATCCCTATCAGGTGTTCTAGATCTAGGGCCAAACCTCTCAGTGAGAAGCTTTCTTTAAGAGTTGCCCTTTGATTTGATTGTAAATTTTACGAGCAATGTTCCTTGTCGATTTTTTATCGGTATGATTCTGTTCCAATATTCGTTTCTTCGCAAAGATTGAAACTGTTTGAGTACCACTTATTTCAGTCTTTGTCAGACTTTCTTATATGGAGATACACAAAAACGAGGGCGAGCGAAAAATGATGGGAATGTTTCCCAAGATGACTATCAAGCGTCGTTCGTCCGCAGACGGAGGGTCTGGAGGGGATTTTAATCGCGTTGACGGTTGTCTGGCAGCTAAGTTGGCGTGATGCAAAAGATGTGATACTCTGCGCGTAATTGACCGATATCCCTTGGTATTGTTTCCGTTTGTATACGGAAATAGCTGTGTTGAAGACTGTTCTGGTCCTTGACGAAGCTGGAATGACTCAAATGCCTTTTTTCGGCATGATTTTTCACTGCTATTCTGCCTGAAAGTACATCCTTCCGATACAGTGTTACCACTTAAATTAATCATTGTACCTATGTTTCCGCTGTAGTGTCCTTTTTGTGAAAATCTGTGAGACGCAGTTGAGACTCATTTCCCTTTTCCCACATATTTTGTTCACATAGGCAACTTTCAAATGCTTCATATCACGCTAGAGTAAGTTTCCTTTTTCTTTCTTTTTGCTGTGCCTCAACACGTTCCTCGATTTCTCCGATACCATTACAACATTACGGTATTCCATTTTAAAAGGATAAAAAAATGTATATGAACACATTAATTAGGAATAAAGAAGCGAATAAGAGGAAACAATTTGTTTAAAATTTTACGAATAAATCAACATAATTCGCTGTCTGAAGAAATTGAAGTGAAAAAACGAAGTGGTACAAAGACTGGCTTGCTGGCCTTGCGTGACTGGCGTGCTGCTCCATGTGTTG